GGTGTGGAAGAGCCCTTTGCAGTAACATGGATTCGAGCCAATGCTGAAAACAGACCTGGAACAGCTACAGGGGAAACAACAGCTGGGAGGGGTCCAGAACCACCTCACAGGAATGACAGCACTGCTGTGCACAGGGAAGAACACACCCATGGACACCATCAGGTGAAAAAGGTACTGAGAACAACCACCGCATGTGTGAGGGGTCAAAGGCAGCTGTCCTTGAGGAAAAAATTACAAATCACAGCAACACCTGACACAGGGGAAGCTTTGCAGAGGCCCCTCTGCCTCTGTTGTCACACCTCTTATGAGTCACTGGGAAAGGAGAGCCTGCACTGGGAAGCCATTTTACAGTGTGTTCTCTGCTCTGGACATTTCAGATGAAGAGCACTTTGTGCACACCCTTGACTAGTACACGTGGGCTTCAAGCCACTTCTCAGCACTCAGGTTGGTTTTCTTCCAAGAGAAACTTCTGATAAGGCAGAAGGGTACTCTAAGTACATTCAGTTTCTGTACCACAGATTTCTATTTATTTTAAACAAGCTCAAAAGTCTTCTCAGCAAAACTACTGGGAAACTTGATCACAATAATCCACTGAACTCCCAGGTAATTTCCATTACTCAAAAATAATCCAGATACCACCTACAGGAACATCACAAAACATTAAGGATAACGTAACATCAAATACAGCACTTACAGTCAAAATAGGTGCAGATGAGATCATACACTTTGTGTCATTGTAAAATTACTGCAAGCAAATGCAGCATTCCCTGACTAACCCTACTGAGGTAACACAACAAGTCCATCTGACTCAAATACTCAAGTGCAGAAGCTCTTCCTCTTTTGGAGGAAGGCTGCCTCCAGGTTAGACTGCTTCATTTCAGACTCCCTGTCACTTTTTATGTGTACTTAAACAGCGTGTTTGTGCACCTCAGTTAGTGACAACTGTTCCACCAACCTGCTCTGTATGGCCATGGTTGAGGTTTTTCTTAATTTCTCTCACTGGACGATACAAGTTGTACAACACTGATCCTGTTTCTCAGGCAGGGAGGCATAGTTCATTTGCCTGACGATCTCAGCAAACAGTTCATCCACCATCGTCTTGCTCTTGGCTGACGTCTCCATGAAGGGACAGCCCCACTCCTGAGCCAGGGCTCTACCTTCTGCAGACAACACCTCCCTCTCCGACTCCAGATCCACTTTGTTCCCCACCAGGATCAGAGGAACCTTCTCGTATCTCTTCACCCGGACAATCTGGTCCCTCATCGGCTTGATGTCCTGGTCAAACAATCCAGCTGGTTAGTACATGCAAGGAACCACACGGAATTGCTACAGAACCACATGTTAATAACCCTCATGTGCAAATGAACATGAAAAACACATCCAAAGACTTGCCAAGTTCACGGTCATTCACAGTAGAACTCAGACAAAGCTTACTACAAACCATTAATAAAAGTAATTTTTTCTTTTCTATAAAAGCATGACCATTGTATAGCGTTTATGTGCACGTACAAACAGAAAGTGACTGCTGTGCTCCCAGAGAGTCAGTGCAGCTGGAGGAAGACAGGGTAGCACTGCTTTGAAAGCTGGTCTCAGCTTTCCGAAGAAGTTGTCTCCAGTCTAAGGACCTGTAACCCTACCAGGACCACACCATTACACAACCATTTAGGAAGTCTGTGCTCAGTTTACAGCTTGAGAAAGCCAGCAATTTAAATAAAGCCTTCTCACTCCTGGAATGTTTAGAATAATTCATTGTGAACACGTTTAATCACCTGTAAGTAACCAAATTAGATGCTGTAAAGAGATTTTATTACCTAGAGATGCATTTATTTAAGTCTGAGCCGACATGGGGAGTTTACACTTGAAAGTCTGAGTCAGCCTCCTCTGCCCCCTGAGTGTTTTAAGTTACTATCAGTACTAAGTCCTACAAATTCTTGCATAGTTCTCAGACAAAGCAATTCCAGCGTTTGAAGTTACCTCTGTGTAAAGAGCTGCAGAGTGGTTTACACCTACAGCCTCCAGAGCAAACACGCTGCAGACAGACGGGGATAATTAAATATTAACAGGGCGGATTACTAACTGTGCATCCACTCCTTGGATAATGGGGGCTCCCTGGCCCCCCAAAAATCAATGAAAACGAGAGCAGAAGCATCCCAACGCCACCGCTGTTGTTTTCCAAAGATAAGCATGTCTCCAGCTTGTTTCGAGGCCTCTGCTAAGATAAGGTTTAGCCTTCAGCAGAAGCAAACGCGCCGCTCCAGTGGGGGTGTGCAAGGTCTTGCCAACCAGCTGGAACACACCCAGCTCGGCAGCCCAGGCCAACGCAGGGGGCTGGAAATCCCTGCGCTGCTCACAGCGCTGCTGAACTCGCTTACTGCCCAAAAACAAAGCCTCGCTTCTGGAGGCAGCTCAGACCAGTTACTGGCAGAGATATTTCAATATTTTTTTGGAGAGTTTTAACAGCAGAAATTAAATCCAGGCCCACAAATCATCGCCCATGGCTGGCTCTCCTCGCCAGTGCCCCACCTACGCAGTGAGAGCACCGAGCTCACGCTGGACAGGAATATATTTTGGTGGGAGGGGGCGGAAAATAGCAGCTCACTTAACAAGTCACAACTGCAGAACAATGAGGCTCTCTTCAGGAGCAACTGCAGGAACATGCCTTTTAGGAAAGAGGCGGGGGGGAGGTTGGAAGGGGAAGTCTCGCTTTTAATATCGAGTGATTTCTTCACAAAAGGGGATTGCCAAGGGATTTCTGCTGGAAAAGTGGGAGCAGGTCATTGTTCTCCAGCACTGCGTGGGATTTAACAATGGTGGCACCCTGATAAGTACCTGCAAAGCAAGCAGTTTGGGCCAGGAAGCGGGGCTGGCGAACGCGCTTTCAGGCCGGGCACTCGCACTTTTCGGCCCCTCGCTGATAACGCGCTCGCACCGCACACGTGGCCGCCCCCAAAAAACTTCCTGCCCGGCCCAGCGCCTTCCCCGTGGCAGGGACGGCTCCGTGCGGGGCGAGGTTACCTGGAAGGACTGCTGGTTGACCAGGCTGTAGACGAGGATGAAGCCCTGCCCGTTCTTGATGTAGAGGTCGCGCATGGAGGCGAACTGCTCGGTGCCCGCCGTGTCCAGGATCTCCAGCACCGAGGGCGACGAGTCCACCTCGATCTCCTTGCGGTAGAAGTCCTCGATGGTGGGGTCGTACTTCTCGATGAAGGTGCCGGTGACAAACTGCACGGTCAGGGCGGACTTCCCCACCCCGCCGCTGCCCAGCACCACCACCTTGTACTCCCGCATCGGGCCCCGCTCGCCGCTCCCGCCGGGCCCGGGCCTAGCGCAGGCGGCACCGCGGCCCTCGCATAGCCCCGGTGCGCCTCACGAGAAGGGCGAGGCCCCGCTGCTCCCGCGCCGCGCTGAGGGCAGGGACACCCCCCGAGCGCCCGGCGCGGCCCCGGCCCCGCTGCCGCCGCCCTCACCGCCGCGCCCCCGCCATGCCGGCCCGGCCGCGGGACCCGCCCGACAGCGCCCGGAACGCTTTCGCTGCGGCACCCGCGGCCGGCCCCGCCCCGGCCCCGCCCGCTCACTTCCGGCGGGCTGCGTCACCGCCCGCCCGCGCCCGGGGGAAGCATTTGAGTGCGGCACCGCCGCCCCGCCCCGCCCCGCCCGCCCCGAGATGGCGGCCCCGCCCGGCACGGCATGGGGTGGGGTGGGATGGGATGGGATGGGATGGGATGGGATGGGATGGGATGGGATGGGATGGGATGGGATGGGATGGGGGGGAAGGAGGGGCTGTCCCGCTCCTGCGGGAACTCAACTCCTTAATAAAGTCCTCTCCGAACTCCCTGCCGGGAAGAGAACCTCCCCGCGGGGGAAAGGGAACCGGGCTGTGGTGCCCACAGCGACCGGGGAACGGGGACCGACACCGCGGCTCTCTCCATCCATCCCTGAGAGCCTCCTGGGCTTGTGCGAACGGGGACACCGAGTGGATCAGAGGCATGGAGCACCTCTGCTGGGAGGAAAGGCTGGGAGAACTGGGATTGTTCAGCCTGGAGAAGAGAAGCTTTGGGGTGGCCGAATTGTGCCCCTTCCAGTACCTGAAGGGAACACGCAGGGCAGACGGAGAGACCCTTTCCAAGAGCTTGGAGTGACGGGACAAGGGGGAGCGGGTTCGAATTGAAAGAGAGCAGGTTTAGATTGAATATTAGGAGAAGTTCTTCCCTGTGAGGGTGGTGAGGCCCCGGCCCAGGTTGCCCAGAGAAGCTGTGGCTGCCCCATCCCTGTGAGTGTCCAAGGCCAGGCTGGACGGGGCTTGGAGCAGCCTGGGACAGGTGGAAGGTGGAATAGGGAGGGAACAGGGAGAGGTTGGAATAGATGATCTTCAAGGTCCGTTCCAACCTAAACTACTCCGTGGTTCTATTAAAGTTGTTCCCTCCACCTGTTGTCCTGTATCTTTACCCCTCCGCGGCCGCACAAACCTCACTGCTCGGCGCCTTCCCAGAGGTTTTCCCTTTTCCTCCCGTTTCCGGAGCCCGTTCCATGAAAAGCCTCCCATCCCTGGCTCGAGTCTGCCTGAGCGAAGCCGGGATGCTGTGGCGGCTCCCCGGCAGGGCCGACAGCAGGTGTCAGCACAAGCCCGGAGCCATCCCCGGCACTGCTGCCACCGGCCCCGGCGCTCCCCCTCCCAGGGAACCTCCCTCCTTGTTAAGATGAAGTAACTGAAGAGAATAAACGGCTGTTTTCTTTCTAAAATAAAATCCCTCAGTCGCGTCAGACCTGACTGGGTCGTCCCCAGCCGCAGGGGAAGCTGCCCTCTGACACAACCACGTTTGTTTCTGCTGCATCTCGGGGTCTGCAGGGTTTCAGCACACACGTGTGAGATGCAGGATTTGTCCCTTTCCCCAGTGTTTGATTGCAAGTCCAAGGCAGACATCGCTGTCTGTTCGTGTCGTGTCCGTGCCTGGTCAAGGCTAAAATCATCCAAAGAAAAGGTAGCGAGGAGGTGACTCTGCTTGTGGCTGTTTTCACAAACAGCGTTATTTTATTCAGTTTCTTTCCAGTAAGAGAATATGTCCATTATGGGAAAAGCTCGGTAACGGTTTTTATCCTCCAGAACAAATCTTACTTAAGTTACACCAAATTTGATTCTTCTTTATTACATGTAAGCAATAACCCCTCTCCTTCCTTTGCCACTGCCTCCAAAATTGTGTTGTCAAGTGAATTGCTGGAATGAGGTGGCTATGCCTGGATGGGGGATTTTCGTGTGGTTGGTGAATCAGCTCGAAAATGTAAAAAGGTGAGCATTAAAACGGGCTGCCTCCTACTTCAACCCCATTAGAACTCACGAGTAGTTGCAATGCACTTGGTGCTCGGGATAAAGGAAAGCCGTGGTTGCTCCCAGAGGAGCTTCCCATCTAATTTTAACCATGACACAATCGGTGACAGTGACAAATGGGGGGAGGGAGGAAAGGGGCAAGGGAGGATGAGGGTGACAATAATGAGATTACACGGTCACTTAGATTCATTATGTGCGTGTCTTTGTGGCACTGCTGGTCCTTTATGTTTGTGATGGGTAGAGGAACTACGGGAGAGGAACGGGGCAAAGAGCACAGCGGGAGAAAAGCCAAACACATTTCTGTGCAATCGACTTAACCAGCAAAGCCTCCCTCCCGGGCTGGGGGAAAAGCCCAGGCAGGTGGGCACGGGTTTGAGAAACTGGATATTTTTTCCTGTGGGTACATAGTGAGTATCAATTTGTATTCCCAAGATTTATTTCCCAACTTACAGCACTTTATACCTGAGCATCATACGTATCTAGAGCTGGGGAGAAAAAAAAAAAAAAAGAGAAAAAAAAAAAAAAGACTGATCTCAAGGTGCACCAGGTTGTTTGTTGTCCTTAAGAGGAGTCGTTCCCTTCATCAAACTCTTCGCACAGCTCCTTCACCGCCTTCTGCCCCACCACACATCCCGACCCGCAAAAATAGCTGGTGATGTAAAAGGTTTTGAAACTCCGGATGGGAATAGCTGCTTCTGCCATAAATGGCCAAGCCCTGAGCCAGCCACACAGGGCACCTCCTGCCGATACCGCCGCTGCCACTCCCTATCACCACCTCATCCCGGTGAGGTGTGGCACGTCCCAGGTCAAAGACCTGATTTAATCTCTGCTGCCACTTTCTCCACTGCTCCTGCCAAGGAGAAAGGAGCAGGGCTCAGCCCTCGGTGCTGCCCCAGGAGGGTTTGCCCTTTCCCAGCAAAACAACCCTCCCAAATGAGCATCCGGGCAGGATTCGATTGCTGCCAGAGCAGCTCTGCTGATGGACTCAGCTGCTCTACGCCATGCCCGCAGCCAGCAACAATAAAGCAGGCCCTTATTAAATTAACCTGCTAAGACAGAGATCCTGCAGGGATCTTCAGAGAACAGACAGATGGCACAAGCAAGGGCCAGTAATAATTGCAATCCCCATCTCACCAGTGGGAGAGATGGATCCTGCCTGGTGCTGTGCCCAACAAGGGGGCAGGAACAGGAGCGGGCAGTGCCCTGCCCTGCAGAGCCAGCCCCGGGAGGTGATGGAAGAGCATCCTCAAGCTCTGGGGGGAGTGAGGAGACTGGAGCATCTCCTGTGGATGCCAGTGTGGGGCTGCAGCACCTCCCCAGCCACCAAAGCCTCCCCACCACAGCCAGAGCATGGATGCTGCCCGGCTGCTGCCGCCTCTCGCAGGCTGTCCCAGCTGTCAGCATCGATCGGCTCGCAGCTCTGACTCACTGTGTCTGCCCGAGATACAAACCAGGCTCTTCCCTGCCAGGAGCCCTGCAGCAGGCTGCTGAGCCGGGGCAGCAGGGGTAGCCTGGATTTCACCTCACTTACCGTCTAGATGGGCACATCATTTGCGTAAATACGTGCAAAACCAGCTTAAGACCAAATGTCATTTCTTCTTCCTCTCTTCCAGAGGTTTTGCTAATCCACTTACCGTGCCTTATGGTGTTCAGCGTGTAAGCTGCAGGGCAGGGACTGGCTCCTGGGGGCTGGAATGGCTGCTGGAGCACTGGGGACTGCTCACACCTCATTCAAGGAGGTCCTGTCACACCAGTCACGTAACTCAAATGACAGCTTTTGATCTCAGCCCCACCAGGTTATAGTGGATGTGTCCACCTGGCCCAGACTCCTAATTCTTGGGCTGTTTCACAACCCGCAGAGATACTCTTCTTCTTTGCCAGCTTTTCCTGCCAGCGCAGAGATGACTCAGAGGCAAATCCTGAGGACCTTTCTCAGACATTTCATATTTTCTGCCATTCCTCAGTATTCAGCTGTTACTTTAGGAGCAACAAAAGGCATGCTGGCACTTAAAAAGAAGGCAAAGGACATTTTCCAAAGCAATTACTGATTTTGAGGCAGAAGTGGGACTGCACTGAAATATAATTGATACAAGGAAATTACTGGGATTTCTAGGAGGAGAAGCATCCCAGGCACGGTACCAGATCACCAGCCATTTAGAAGAGCTTGGCCCAGGAGCTGGTTGTTGCTGCTGAGCAGCAGCACAGAGGAAGATGCTGTTCCTACACCCTGCCACACTCACTGCCTGCAGCCCCTTGTCCCTGCAGCAGCCCTCTCCCCTGGTCATCCCCTCTGATGCTGCTGCAGGATCAGCATCCTGCCCTGGGGCGGGCGAGCGAGTCTCCATGTCTCGGTGTGGTGATGAGTCACTGCTCCCTGTGAGGAAGCTGGTGATGCAGCCAGAAATGCGGTTTCACGGGTCATTTATCTTCCTGTTTTCTCCTGATGTCGAGCTATCTCCTCGCTGCCCTTCACAGTCCGAGCTGCTGTAATCCTGGCCTGTCCTCCACATGCACAACATGATGCCAGCATGGCACAGTCTCCTTGGGTACCGCCTTCCATGAACTTCTGCAAAGCTGAGAGGGCAGAACTATCCTCAGGTTTGACCTTGCCAAATCACCAATACATGTGGCAGCTTCTCCCTAGAAATAAATATACATACATATTTTAAAGTTTCCAGCCACATCAAACTGAAAATACCTTTTCAGCCCTAAGGCTGAAAAGCCAGAAGGCAACAGTGAACACATAAACCAAACCTGTTGCTTTAAACCTCAAATGAAAAGAAAGGAGTGGGGAAGGTCAAGATATGTTTTTAAGATTTGTGAAAATAAAGCAATTTTAAATTAATGTCCAACAGAAGAATTCCCATTTGCTTTTAAAATTCCATGTATTTTCCTATTTTATTGTATTCCTGCAGCATTTGCAATTCAGATGCTACAGAAATGTGTAACCTTGCTCATGAAATTTGCTGGCCAAATGAAGCAGCCAACAATTAATTAGAGTGAAACCCCTCTGCTTTACTGCCATTGGAGAGAACGAGAGAGAGAAAACATAAAATCCAACCCAAACAGGGTATTGAGAAGATACTTTAATACGATGTTGATCTTAATAAGCAAAAGCATTTCTTTCTTCTTTTTTTAAATAAATTGCTTTTCGCTTGACAATTTCCTCACAGCGCAGTGACAAGTATTATTCCGAATCGTTAATTCCTCCACGGAAGCTCCAGCACTGAGCTCATTAAAGCGTGCCGAGTCCCCGGGCGGGCACTGCCAGGTTGTGCAGTGACCTGAGACCACAACACCCACTGCATTGTTTCATCTCCAGCCCAGGGATAGGCGGAGTCACTGGGGCAGCCAAACCCCTTGCCCTGGTGGGGGACCTTGACATCCTGGGTGGGTGACACGGGGACGTTTCTGCTGAAATATTTGTGCCTCTTTACAACACGGAGCATCACTTCTGGCTGGCTGGGATGGGATGTGCAAAACCTGGGTCCTGGCAGCACTCATGGCACGTGGAAGATACATTTTCCAGGTGGGCAATGCCACTGCCACCAAGTGCTGCAGGGTGGCACATCCTACTTGATTTAGAATCATGGAATATCATACGAGAATATCATGGGACATCTGCATGGCACAGCCCTGTTTCCCATGCCGATGGCACTCACTTTCCCACCCACTGCTTTTCTCCAGACACAGCTGAGGATCTGTGTACATGGCAGTGTTACCAGACAGTCCCTGTGCCAGGCTCATGTCCCCAAATGGCCACATGCACGTGGCTCTGATGAGGGCGGAGGCAGGTCATGGCTGAGATGCTTCTGGAGGAGATCACCCTGAGGCTGTAGGGGAAGGTTTTCCAGACCGGTGCAGTGGCAGAGCTGTGAGCAATGGCCAGCCAGGCAGAGCTTCTCCCCAGACTGCATTTGCCAACAGCCAACAAACCGTCTGCAGAGTGGGAACACGGCGAGCTCATTATGAGACTCTTTATCAGCCTTCCTGTCAAGGGAGGCCAATGGTACAAAGCTGTGTGTCTGTCGTGCCAGAGCCTGTCAGCTCCCCTGGAAAGGACACCTGGACACTTGGAGGCAATCCAGGCACCAGCGAGGGTCTCCACAAAATCCCAGAAAGCTGCAACCAGGATAACATGTGGCATCCATCACTGTCATCCGAGGGAGTCAAACCAGCAGGCCTCAGAGGCTGGATGCTCCATGAACCCAGCACGGGAATCAAGGGGTTAAAGTGCTTGGCCAAGGAAGGTCCTCGGAGGAGAAAAGCACCGAATCTGCTTAATTAGAGTATTCAAATTGGATGGGGTTGCAAAGCGGTTAATTTCTCAACTTAAAAAACCAGAATTAATATTTGCCAGCCAGGATCAGAAGCAGTGGGAGCCGTCGACAGCCTCGCTGGGGCTCCCTGTGCTGGGGAAGACTCCAGAGGTCTCTGCTGTAATTGCCTGTGGTCTTCAGTATTTTGTTCCACAGTTTATGAACCTGCTCAAGTTCATTTTGTGGATAAAAGCTGCTGATCCAAAACCTCTGCCTTCAGCAGTGAGGGGCTGCTGGCTGGTTTGGTATTGCAGTGCGACACTTTGGTGTTCCAAAGAATCTCCTAATTTGCACAGCCTGGAGAGGATCAAACCCATGGCTGGTGAAAGCAAGAGTGGTTCTGCTGTGGCCAGAGCTCCCTCCCAGCCTCTGGGACAGCAGCTGCCTCCTGTCCCTGTCCCTGCACAGACAGAGCTGCCACTCACACCGAGGACCAATTGCCTTGTGGCCATGGGAATCTTGCAGTCAGCAGCCTCTAAATGAGCCCAGCTATGCTGGTGCCAGGGAGAGGATGCTCCTGTTTCTGCCTTGTGCCACAGCAGACCTGGAGACAGCTCCTGTAGGGATGTGGAGTTGGGATTGTGTGGGGAGAGTGCTGAGGCTCGTCCCTAAGCTAGTCCTTGTCTATGGGCTGGCAGATCTCCTTGCTCTGGTCCATCTGCCTCACGCCTCAGGCTTTTCTCATCTCCTGCTTTTTGCTTTTCTGATCTTTTCTCCAATTTTTAATCCCATGCCAAATTCTTTCCCATCCTCTTAAAATTCCTCAACACTCTTAATATTTTTTTTTTCCCTTAGCTTGGCTGCATAATTGCAAAGCATCTCGAATCCCTCTGTGTTTAGTCTTCATACCTTGTGCCACCGCTATGTTCCAATCACTTAAACATGAGGTCTTCACATATTAGGCCTGCAGAGACGAATTTTTCACGTTCCCTAGAAAGAAAATCATCCTCCATTAGCCAGTGCCTCGTGGTGACTGAGAAGGGACGTCACAGCAGGAGCAGAGCCAGCAGCTGAGGGTCCTGTGCCTTGAAATGGCACTGATGTCTGAGCCGAGCTGTGATTTTTTTCCCAGCAATAGCTTTGCTCTTCAGTGGCCCTGAGTGAAAGGTTTTGACGCCCTCCATCAGCACTGCACCGGGTGACGGCTGGCACAGGGCCGGGCTGTGTGGCTCCACAGGGTTCCCTGTCACCCTCCTGCCAGCAAGGCAGCTGCCACCGCCCCTGGTGTCACCCACCAAGTCTCAGCAGGATGCGGAGGGGAAGGAAAAAGCCACTTCCCCATGCACAGAGACATTGCGTCAGGAGCAGAAAAAATTGATCTCTGGCTGCTGAGCCTCTCTAGCACTTTGTGTTGCTGAAAGGAATAATCAAGCCCAGCCCTGGAGAAGGAAAAGATGGAAAGAAAATAAAAGCTTTCCCCACCTAATGATTTCTGGCTGGGGCTGGGGCCCTCCCTGGGGACCCCAGCAGTGCTTTTGGGAGAGATGTGCTGGGGCTGCTTTTGCTCCTGGGGTTGGTTCTGTAGCAGATCCACAGCAATCCCAGAAAATGTTGTTTTTCCTGCTCACTGCAGAGGTCTGGGGAGAAGGGGAAGAAGGAAGGCAGCTGCCAGAGGCCAGGGCTGAGTCCCCAACCACGTGCACTCACACTGGGCTTGCCCAGGGACGTTGCTTGTCACCCTTCCTTTGTTCAGCAGCCATGGTCTGGTGCAGAAGCCTGGCTTTCTCTGGGACAGGGTCCTTGCATGGCTGCAGGGCTCAGTTTGGAGACAAGGAGCAAAGTGCTCAAGTGCCACTCATGGGGCCAAGCAGGGAGGGAAAGCACTCTAGTGCTCCTCACCTGCCCACAAGCCAAGGGCTGAGCTGTTCCCTCCATGAGAGCATGGGCATTTGCCATAGCCACCACCAGCAGCAGCAGCTCAATATCTGGATCTAATACTCTGGTGCCTCAACAATTAAGAGATTAAAGGAAAAATCCACACTGAAAGAGGAACCCGGATGCTTCTCCTGGCTCCCAGCAGCATACCCTGAGCTGGCCCAGCCCCAACTTCACCTACTTGCAGTCCAGGGGATACACATTTCGGCAGGCAGCCCTCTAGTCCCATCCTTGGCAAGCTGTCCCACAGCAGGGGGCAGAGCTGTGGCAGTGCCAGGTACCTGTGAGCAGGGATATGGGGGGACCACTGCACCCCTACACTGGTCCAGGGGAGCAGACCTGTCGCCTCAGTCCTGTGTGAGTGCTGCCAGAGGGATGCTCCATCATTTGGTGCCCTGTGGAAGTTGCAGGTCGATGAGGCTGCAGGTGGGGGGAGGCAGAAGAGAAGGGAGGCAGCAGATCTCTCCCCTCTCCTGCCAGTGCTCTGCACCCCTGCCCCAGGACCGGCCGGGCTGGCTGGCTGGCTAGCGGTGGGCATTCGTGACTCATTATCCCTGATCACCATCCCATCACACATTTACTGCCAGCAGGATGGGCCTCCTGCCAGCACAGCAGCCCTGGAGCCTTGTGGGAGGGTGTCTGGGCTCTGCCAGCAGCTGTGCTGATGCAGATGGGCTGGGAGGTCAGCAGCTGCGGCCCCGGGATGCACAACCTGAGGTACCCCCGGCTGGGTGGGTAATCGAGGCAGACCCAGTCCGTCTGTCCCAAGGCTCAGGGTGGGAGGGCAGGGTAATGCATGGCAGGATACAGGAAGGGATGGGACCTGTTCAGGGCCAAGTGTGGCAGGTCACAGAGCCAACCCAGCACCTTCACCTCCCACAGCACCCACCCTGCTCACCCCAGCGTCCTGGCTCACAGCACTGGGCCCACAATGACAAATGCCTTAAAAACATTCTTTATTAAGTGAGAAAACTGACTCTGCTCCCCACGCCAAGCCCTAATACAGTGCAGACCTAAATACAGCACTAATGCGAAAGCTTAAAGGATTTCCCATAATTAAGCAAAGCTGGCAGAGGGGTGAGAGCCTGGCAGAGGGAACTGCAGCCCACCTCTCTCCTCAGCGTGGGCCACCCTCTGACTGACCCCATGGTCCTCTGTGGTCCAAATCTGGCCATACACCCCACCCTTGGACTGTGCAACATGGGAAATTAGTCTTCCAAGGCCTCATCCTGCCCAGCTCAGAGCCCCAAGTTGCCCTCGTTACCCTCACCAAAATCCTCTTGATTTATGCAACAGCACAAGTAACATCATCACATGTGACCTCTGCATCACCCATCCTGCCAGCGCTGCTGGGGCTCTGTCTGTTCCAAACCTCACTGCGGGTCACGGCAGGGCCAGGGGAGCAGGACTGGGCACATCCAGCTCCCAAAGGAGTTCAGAGCAGGGGAATTGCTGAGCCAGCACCTGCTGCTCCTGCACACCCCAATACTGTGGGGTAGGGGTGCCCGCCAGCACCCTGCACCCCAGCAAACATACAGCCTTACCTTTGTATTGCCCTGAGACTCTGAGAACAGCGATGGTTTAACGGGAACATCCTGTGTCTCACCGGCACAGCAGTGTCACACTCAGGCAGGCTCACCCCACAGGGTGAGAGGCCCAGTACCTTGACTCAGGCATGTGTTTCTGTGGGGGAAAGCACAATGCATTTTTACTCCAGCAAGTTTTCCAGAGGTTTTGCGAAGTACTCAGGAGCACCTTTGCTTTGGCGCAGACACATGCACCCCAAAACACCCCCAGGGACCCCCGGTGTCCCTTGACACCCCAATATGATCACCAGGAGCTGTTCATCAGTGGGAGCCCTTCCAGGTATCCAGGTGCCACTGCACTGCAGGTCTGGGGGCAAAACTGAGGGCTGGAAGGGCTGTGGGGCAAGTGGGGACACAGAGGGGACACAGACACAAAGCCTTCTGCCAACTGCCAGGGGTGTAGAGGACATGCAGGAGCTGGAGCAGAAGCACTGCCATGGAGATTGGCTGAATTACAGTGTGAAGCATTAAAGCAGAAGCCACATCGATTACAGGCACAGGCTGTGTGCACGCAGTGGCTGCAGAGGGTGGAAGGCAGCAGTTCCCTTGGGAAGGCGCTGATAACATTTACGAGCAAATAATTTACATGAACCACGGAGCAAAGCAGAAATACCTCTGTGGAACCCAGCTGCAGCTGCGAAGAGATAAATGGTGCAGCAGCATCCTACCAGGGTCTCCTGCCTGGCTCAGGGATCCTCGTGGAGGCAGCTGCTGAGGGTGTCAAAGTGCCATCCCCTCGGGGCTGGATTTACACTTTCAGATCCAGGGGAAGGACAGTAGGAACAGTGGGGCAGATGACAGAACACATGGCTGCTAAACAGACTGGCAGAGCCACCCTGAAAAAGGCAAAACGAGGAGGAAATGGCAAAGGCATTTGCAGCAAACATCTTCCAGCTGATCTGAGCCTGGCCGGGACCCCATCAGAGCTGGCTTGCTGGGCAGCTGCTCCTCCAAGCCCATCCCCATGTACTTCAAGCTGGGGCTTTTTTTGTGTCTGTGCAGGCCTCCCTGCCCACAGACACCTGAGAGGCCTCCCAGGCCATTCACAGGGATCCTCTGTTGGCACCTGCTGCCATTTCACAAAAGTACTCAAGGCAGGGTCCAACCTGGGCTGGGCACATCAGTCCACTGTCTGCAGTAACAGCCCAGGGCACAAGCAAGAGGGGAGGAAGGGGCTGTTCCTCACACTACCCTGCACTCCGACATGACCCCTCCTAGGAAGGATTTTAATGGCTCATTGGGTGTTAGTCAAACATTTCTCCATTCTTTCTCATAATAAATAAATCAAAATTATCTGTTTATCCACCACTAAGTCCAGATTCAATAAAAACTGGCTTTGGACCACAGAGGCCCAACTGAATATGGAGCAAGCCTTGAAAAACAGAATTTTACCCCTGGTTCCCAGTGAAGCTTCAACAGCCAGAGTTAAATGGAGATTTTTTTTATTAAACTTGACCTTCCTGCACAAACAGGCTCCAGTGAGGAGGAAGATAAATGGGCCAGGTGCTGTTATATTTCCAAATAACACATGCTGTAAATACAGTACCATGAATAGTTTTGCTCAGATCCTTTAATCCATCTATTACAGTTTGCAGCAGCTCCTCCTGCAACTTCTGCAAATGGGCCTCAGGTAAAATCCTACATCCTTGGCCCAAGGAGGATGCTGTTTGGCCTTGAAACACAATTTAAAATCCCTTGCTAATGGGCTACCCTCAAATTTAGGTGCTACTGTGGGACTCCCACCCCCAAACCTTCATGTGGGGGAGGCTTCTGCTGAGCAGAGCCAGTGTCTCCAAGCAGCAAAGGCTCAGCTCTTCCCACAGCTTCAAGGAAAGCAACACTTGCAAGCCCCTGACCCCACTCTGCAAGGAAAATGAACCAGACCAAAGCAGGCAAAAAAAAAACTCATAAAAAAACATTCAGGAAGGATCCCATCCTTCCACAACACCCACTGCCTAGAAAAGTTTCAGTTCTACTTCTTTTTTTTTGTTTTAGAAACAATTCAGACATTTAACTGTGCCATCAGACGAGGCAGGAGTCATTTATAGAAGAAAGCTCTAAGTGGCCTTGACACACAAATGGAGTCAATTAACCTGCAAGGAGAAGTCAGGGGAACAGGCTGATGGAAAAGCAGCAGTTACATAATTTGTCCTGAGCTCGGTCTGTCTGTTCTCAAAGTCAGCAGCTTGTCCTATTGAGACTGAGGAGCAGCATCTGCCCAGCCTCCTCTGGCAGTGCCTATTTCCCTGAAAGCTCTGTACTGGACCCACATCCCCTGAAACACTAATTTTCAAACTCCTAATCCCTCCCCAAACTCCCAAGAGCCAGATTTTTTGACTCCTTTGGGAAAATGGCCAACGATCCCCCAGAACGCTGCGCTTCCCTCCTTTGTGCTGGCACCAGACCCCTCTCTGGCAGCACCATCTGGGCTCACCCGTCACCCTGGTTGTCCTGGGTGCTGGACCAACATTCAGATGTCACAGGAGGTCAGTTACTCACATCCTCAGGGCCTTCCTGACGTCGTCCTCTGCCACCCACGAGATGAGTGACGCTGCAGCCCAGCACAGCCACGCGCCCTGGCTTGGTGCCTCCAGCTTTAAGCTTCTATGGAGCAAGTGGTGATCTCAAGCCAACTCAAGGGTAGAAGCCCCCCCCTTTTATGCAATTCTATTGGCAAGAAGGTGGGAACCAAGTTGGCAGCGCCTCTGAGCAGTTTTCTTACCTCTGAATCTATGCAACATTACAGAAAAGGACAAACAAGCTTGTCAAGAAGCAATTCTCTCTTGCAGCAGTCTAGACCAAGCTCAGTTGTGGTTGCTCCAGACCACGGTGAGAGGCTCTCCCAGCCTGTGCCGGCTGGAGGCCTGAGCCTGGCCACGTGGCCCGGGATAAGCTGGGCACTTGGAAGAGAGCTGGGGAATCCAAGCTGCTGCCAAAGGGAGGTTACTGCTGTATTATTGCACTGGGACATTCAAAACGGTATCTGACACAAATGCTGAAAGACAAAAATTAATACACACACCACTGTGCTACAAAAGCTGCAGGCCTTTGAATGGTAGTCGACTTATTCTTCATGGTTATCTTGGAACGCACAGCTCTGATCTCTTCTCTAATCACATCACAGACAGGGGAAGAAAGGAAACATGGAAAAATACAAACCAACCAGACCACATCACATGTGTCTCCAAAGGTCTAAGGCACAAGAGAAACCAAAAGGCAGCATCTGGAAAGTTTTACTTTTTATTTTTCTAAAATACAAATGTCTGTCTTGTGTTAGTAACTTTAATATGATAGGCCGAATGCATCCGGTAAAAAGGAGGCACTGGCTACAGAATTCAAAATACTGAAGGTATTTTCTGGAAAGAAATTTATTCTGTTGATCTACACTTTAGATACAACATTGAATCAAATTCATTAGTTATTATTTTTACATCAGAATCTTTGAAGTTTGGGACTAATAAACTGGAACTTGAAAAGTTTTTAAAGTAAACTCCTATTAATGTGTAGATATGGATCCATAAAAAACATAACCAAGAATTTTATACACTTTATTAAAAGATCAAAAAATAAACAATAACAATATAGAAGTAACATACTAAAATGAGTAGCATTATGCACATTTCTAAAGCACGTACAAGCACTACAGCAATATAATGTGGCAAAAAGAAAAATAAATTCAAAGCGTACACCCTGTTGGTAGCAGTTGAGGGAATGAACTATCGTGTTATGGAACTGAAATACTGCATTAACATACGCCTGTCTGGATCCAACGATATTTTAATTTCTTACAATTCCACAGGGCTAAGTGTAATAATTTGTATATATTTTCTAAACTATACCATTAAATTGATATCTAATGTTTCCCTTACTTTGTTTTACCAGAAATGCCTATGAAAAGAAGAATGTGCTTCAAAGATCTACTTTACACAGTACAGTCTAAATGTTTTTATATATTTAAATTAAAAATTGACAATTTAGGAGAACATTCTCTCTTTGATTTTAGTGATTGCCTAAAATACAATTCTCTATTTATAAAAAAAAATAGTGATCTGTTGTCAGGTGATGTAATAAAGGGTGGGGAGTTGGTTCATTTTCATGATCTAAAATAAAAATATAATTAAAACAAAGCTAATCAGAAAGAAAAAAAAAATCCCATAATCCAATCTAAGAATGGTCTTATCATCCCCTCATCTGCTAGGATACAAAAGCCATGGCAACAAAATCATTTGGCTTCCACCACTATCAAATAGCATCTGTGTACAGTAATAAAGAACTGGAACCTTGTAATTCGGTGTCAGGTAATTCTCTCTGTTGTGTGTTTGGAAAAATAACTTCATTTTATTTAAGAGTTGTGTTATTTTTGCATGTTTAAATATCTCCTTTGAGAGGCAGATAGAGTTATTTTTGATGATAGAGGATGTCAGTAAAGATCACTAGCAAAGATTTTAGCAGTGTTATCATGATCATGCTCATACCCCAATGAAGTTTGACCGGCTATGATTCATTTCGCATAGTGCAAAATATTTTTCTCTCATAATCCTAGAAATGAGAAAGAGCTTGATTATAGAAACTGATTACAGCAAAGGGAAGCCTTAATAATGTGGGGGTAGAACTATTTGATTATTTTGTATTAAAATCTAGGTTATCACAACACCACAAAGAGAGGCAACATCCAATTTTTGTTTTAAAGACCCTGGGGCCTCATGATGACACGACTCTGACTCAACAAACCACCCACCGACACAACCCTCTGGTGAGGGTTGGCATCCCCAGGAGACAGGAACCTCCAAGGTACCAGGGGTGCTGGCTGAAGAGCAGGTCTTGCACTTGGCAGTGACAGCTCAGCCCTTAACCCTGGGGCGGGTGGGAAAGGGAGACAGTGACATCAGGTGCCACCACCCACCAGTTCTGTTCTGGAGGACTCAGTTCATCGCTTGAGTTAGGACC